CGATCATGGCAGGTGGGGGTTTTCCACCGGAGGCAGCGCAGTTCCAAAGAGTTACCTTCCACACCTCGGATGCAGTTTAATTCTCTCAGCACTCATCTCGGTAAGTGCTGCTGTGACAAAAGCCCTCAACTGTCCTTGTGTGCACACAAGTGCTAATGGCTGCATGGACAGGCCCTGTCCCCAATCTAATTAAAAGGAAGCTTTTTCTGCCAACTGTTTAGACCTCGTAATTCCAATGCATATAATCAGATTTCGAGACCCTCTCTAGATTAAGCTGTCTGGAGACTGAATCAGGGCAGTCTAAATTTATGTCTGAAAATTAGTCTTACTCATTCCCATCTGCCACAGCGGAACACAGAGTCTTTTTTTTGAGGTAAAGTTCTTCCACCTCGCTAGAGCAGGTGCGGGGGGGGCAGCTCCATGTTGCTTTAGCATCAAAATTTGTCCCAGAGAAGACAGAAGGTAACTCCTTGCAGTTCAGGAGAGCAGCAGGAGGCATTCCTTTCAACAGAGGACATACCTGTCTATATGCAAGACAACCCATTAAGAAGCAAAGATTATTCAAAATTATTTATTTTATAGAAAGACAAAGAACATCAGTACTACGAACTGTGTGCAATTCATGCTCTTGGGGAAGATGTTTACCATTTTCCTTGTATAAACTCCAGCCATTCAGCAACTTTATCCAACTTTTTTCCTACAATAAAATCTAAAGGTGCTTCAAGTCTTTAAACGAGGATCAAGGACTTATCTAAGCACTTCTTCACAGAAGAAAACCGAACAATTCAACCACTGAACAGTTCAACCAGTCAAACAGTAAAACCCTTATTCCCTGGAGCTACCCAGTGAAATCCAGACAGAGGTCAGGATTGTGGGAAGTCATCTGCAGATAGATGCGTCGGGACAGCTCCGGCCCAATCCGCCGGGAGGTGGCTGTCACACCCTCACCACGGTGCACTGGGATATTGGCCAGCATGTTCTCCCGCTCCTGGTCCGAGGAGCATTTCCTATAGGCCTAAAGGCAATGCAGAGGAACAACTCTCACCAATGGCTCAAAAAACCAGTCAAAGCCATGCACCTGTGACTGCTCTGCCCTTCCACAGTGTCCGCTCGGTTTTTCACCTGGTCCCTCCCCAGTCCCATCCGTGACCTTGGAGAGCAGAACCAGCGCTTCTCCCTCGGTGGTCTGCTCTGGGAAGCCAAAGCAGTGGATGCCAAGGAATCAGTTCCTTCACTAACTTAGTGGACTGCTCATACAGAATCACTGTACCTAATTTAATACCCATTAAAGGATTTCTTCCACCCCTTACATCAGCTGGCTGCCTGCACACAGTGCCAGGTATTCCCGAGGCATCCTCACCTGGATCAGAAGCTGAGGAGAAGGGTAGGCAGACACGATAGCCTCAGCCATCGCAGGGCTGACCCGGTTAAACTGCTCTATCTGCCTGGTCCAAACTTTCAAGAGACCCTTTCCAGAATGATCCACCTTCACCCCTCCACACCAACGCTTCTCCAGGTAGAAAGGGAAGCCTGTATCCTCTCGTTCTCGCCTAGGGAGAACAAGGAATGAGGAAGCAAATGAGACAATGAAGAAAATTCTGTCCCTGTGTCTGTAGTCACAGAGCCAGAGCACTGTCCCTCACTTGTGCTGTTAGAGAGACTGCTGACATCAAAAGAAATGTTGACCATTTGACCCTATTTGCTTTATATTCATTACCAATTTCTTTAAGTCTCAGATCGCTATAGAAAAAAAAAAGCAACCCTGACACAAGCCAACACACAGAAAAAATGGTAAACAAGAATTCACCCTCTGGCTGTCAACCATAACACTTTCACATGTAATTTTTAACAACATCTCGTCTCCTCTCATGGCTGACATGGAAAATCCAGCAGCTACTGTGAAAGGAATGCCAGGATTGGGTGAGACTGCATGAGATGGCTTTCTGAGCTATTGCTATGTAACACACTGCTGTCCTTCCTTAACAGAAACAGCAAAGTGGTTCATTCTCAGGCACATCTCTCTTGGTTATGCACTGTAGAAGAAAAGCTGGTGCTGTAAGAGCCCAGCCCTACTTGCATTCCCTTCTCACTCCAAAAATCTGCCTTAGAACAAGAGCTTTACTCGATGTCAAGACTCCAGTGTGAAACTTGAGGGTGCTGAGGCACTGGAGCAAGTTGCCCAGAGAAGCTGTGGATGCCCCATCCCTGGAAGCATTCCAGGCCAGGCTGGGTGGAGCTCTGAGCAACCTGGTCCAGTGGGAGGTGTCTCTGCCCACAGCAGTGGGTTAGACTGGATGATCAGGGTCTGTCCTCACCTCTCCAAGGGCAGAACATCAGTTTCAAGAAAAGTCCTGTGTTGAGGGAGCTGCATTAGCAGCTGCTCTATGTTGCCTGCTCTTTTAAAAAACCATTATACACTGTGTTGTACCTGCTATTCCCTCCCAGTAACTGAAAGTGCAGCCTCTCCAAACGAGGACCAAACCTCCTCTGCTTACTCACTTGAATGGTGCCTCAGCCACAGCTTTTGTGAACATAGTGGCGTATTCCCCCAGCTCCTCACAGCTCTCAAAACAGCTGACCTGGACTTGCGTGCTCAGCTGCAGATCCACCAGGGCCTGTATCACCATTGGAAACAACAAAGGAGACAATCAGTCTCGTCACATCAAACCCCACTTTCGTCTGAAACAGAAAAGGGTCGCAAAGATCTCGCTGTAGAACAAGAACAGCTGCCCTCTCCTCATTTTGGGAACAGCTAATTTACAGCACTGAAGTATTTAGGGGCAGTCTGTCTCTGCCAGGTAGTATCAGTTCAGTGTCCTCTGAGCTGCCACACTCTTGTTACACACAGGCCACCACGGATGGGCTTTGCCAACTGCATCCTCCCATCCAAGAAATGGTGACGAGGTCAAATGTTCAAACACTGACAGACAACAGACGATGGCTGCGTATCTGTTTTAAAAGGTACTCACTTCTTCCACGTCCATTCTGGTTAACTCCAGGCCAGAATTCTTAATTTTCTTTTTTCTCCCTTTTCTCTGTTCCTCTTGGTTCCCATGTGCTGCTGCCTGTTGCAGTCTCTGTTTTGACTGAACTCTGAGGGACCTAAAAAGAGTAAAGTAACACCAGGGTGAGAGGCTGGATGGGCCTTTGCTTCTGTTTTCGTATGACAGTAGAGCAGTTCTGGGTGGGAATACCACTTATACTTCAGTCTTTGCTAGTAGGAATTTACGTAAACACCTATGGCATTTTTTCAAGGCCAGAGAAAAACATAGAAATGTTTGGAGGGAAAGAAGTTTGACCTGAAATAATTTTCTACTCCAACTACTGCCAGAGCCAGAATTTTCCCAGGTAGTTTCTTCATCACATGAGCTACATAGCTCTGCAGGCTCATCTTCTGCCCTTCTGTGCAGCTGTCAGCATTCTGCAAATATGAATGGGGAAAAAAAGGGGTTAAACCATTCTGTGGTACACATGGAAGCACAGCAAACTATGGCTTTGGTTCTGGGTTTGCAGATGAGCCTGTTCACACGTGCCCTTCAGGGTAAGCAGGCAATCCTTGACCCCGTGTACAGTTATAGCAGAAATTTAAAAAATCACACTTGATGGAGCAATGTTACCTCTTAGGGACGTATTAAAATTTTTAACTAGAAAAGTTTGTCAGAACTTTACATTATACAACCCAGTGGTTTTGATCCATTAATGGCTCAAAACCCCAGATTTCTGTTTTACTGAAACCCTGCATTCATCCCACACGTAAGGTTTCGTCCCACACTGAAACATTCCTGCCACAAAAAGGGATGACAAAACACCAGTTTTGCATCAAGGCATGTACAGGAGGACAAAAGTCATAAGCACTCTCACTTGTTTGTAGCTCTGAGCCATGGACAAAAACTCCCCCAAGCCAAGCAGAACCAGGACATTTGGTTCTTCTGTCCATTCTTCTCCTCCTCCCATCTGTTCAGATATGAAAACAAACAGTCAGGCCAACAGTCTGTTTAGAATTCACTCAGACTCCCACTCAGAGCTCTGAGCAGGGAGTTCTAGGGGGTGTTTGTGTTGCTAAATACAATTGCGAGCGAGTGCAAATAACAGACGGAGAAAAAGGCAAAAACATCAAGATTTTCCTTACACACCTGAGACGACACAGTCTCTCTCCTCCAGGTGATACTGCAGGGAACAGCCTGGTTCTCAACCACACAGGAATAATTGGCAGCCTCCAAAGCTCTAAGGATCTGCTCACCACCTTCTACCTGTAAGAGGGCTGAAATCGGCACACGGGTCAGGCCTCCAGAGAGGAGACAGTCAGTGCAAAGCAGGTGCAGGCTGTCAGGACAGTTACCTGGATCCAGCACCGCTGTTATGTACTTCTGGCACTCTCCCGGCCGCTGAGCTTTCAGCGCCTTAGCAAGGGCTCTCCTCCTCTCTTTCTCCTCCTCCTGCAGCCTCCTCTTCGCCTCTCGCTCCTTCCTCCTCTCCCATGCAGCCTGGCAGACTGCCTCCCTTTCCCTCTGACTATACCGCCGCTTCACGGGAGGGAGGGACGCTTCTGTGCTTGCCAGGGGGCTACTGGGCTTGTCCGAGCCGACCGGCAGCGCGGGTCCCTCAGCATCGCATGTGGCGTTTTCACCGCCACAACACCCTCCTCCAGGCGGCTCCGGGTCCTCCTCCTCCTCGCTGCTCACCAGCACAACTTCGCGGTCGGCAGGCGGGGGCCGCGGGAGGCTCGGCTCGGGGGCCTGCAGCAGGGAGCACAGGCTGGGCAGCTCGTCCTCGCTGCCGCTCTCAGAGCGCGGCTCCGCCATCGCCTCCCTTCCCCTCAGGGAGAGACCCCCCCCCAAGGCCACCCCTGAGGTGTTGGTGGGGGCAAAGCCCGCGCTGGGCGCTGATTGGCCCGGAGGCGCGCGCGGTTGGCGGCGATTGGCCCGAACGCGCGCGACGCGCGTTCGGGCCAATCGCCGCCAGCCGCGCGCCCCGCCCCGCCATCCCAGCGTGAGGCGGCGGGGGGGGGAAGGAAGGGAACAAGATGGCGGCGCTGGGGCGGCTCTGTGAGTGAGGGGGCGGCTTCGCCCTCTGAGGGGAGTGGGGAGCGGGAGGGTGAGCTCGAGAGGGGTTGAGGGGTGCGCCCTCCTCACCCCCCCCCACTCTCCAGCACCACCGCGGGAGGTCGCGTCTCCCCCCTCCCCGGGGAGCTCGGGGCGGGGAAGGGTCAGGGGTTTCGCGTTTCGCCCTGCGGGGCTGAGGCGGAGCCCCCGGTGGGGTGGGCGGGTTTGTGTAAGTGAAAGTGCGACTGTGGTTCGCTCTGTGATTTGATTGCCTGGGGTTCGTCACGTGCCGGAGGCTTTCGTTGTACTCAGTGGGTCGTCTCCTGAAATTAGTGGGGATTTGTAGGGCAATTAGCCTTTTCTCGACATGGAATCACGGGCAGGTTTGGGTTGGAAGAGGCCTTAAAGAGCGTCTTGTTCCAGCCCCCTGCCATGGGCAGGAACACCTTCCATTATCCCAGGTTGCTCCAAAGCCCCATCCAACCTGGCCTTGGATACTTCCAGGGATAAGGCAGCCACAGCTTCTCTGGGCAACCTGTGACAGTGGAGAATTTCTTGCCAATATGTAACCTAACCCTCCCCCTGTCAGTTTGAAGCCATTTCTCCCTTATCCTGTCACTCCATCCCTTATCCCATGTCCCTCTCCAGCTCTCTGGAAGCCTCTTTAGGCACTGGAAGGGGCTCTAAGCCCTCCCTGGAACCTTCTCCAGGCTGAACACCCCCAGCTCTGTGCTCCAGAGTCCCTTATTGCCATTCCCAGGGCTCTGTAATCCTTTTTGAAGTCATTAATCATAAAAATCACAGAATCATTAAGGTTAGGAAAGACCTCCAAAATCATAAAGTCCAACCTTTCTACTCATTTTGGATACTCAGACTGCTCCTGGATGCATCACTGATTATATGCTTATATATCATACCAAATTGGAATCTGCTTATTTGTAAGATTTCAGAATATAACTGAGTAAATGCCATTTGGTCAGAGGGGAAACTGAAGCAGAGATCACAACTTGTCTACTTGCCTCTTCTCAAAGCAATGTATAAGCAATATAAACAATTAAAGGGCATCTGTACTGCATTTTGTAAGAAAATGAAACAGGAATTCGTGCATGTCCTTTAACATCATTGTTGAGTTTCATTCCTCCCTGGGTAGCAGCAGCACTTGAGATGTGTCCTCTTTGCAGGGAACTTAGGCCATGGTGGTTTAATTTATCTTGGAAGTACTTTTTTTTCCCAATAGGGCTTTCCTTTGCCTTTAGTTTTAAAGCCTCTCTTAACTGATACCCTTTACATCTGACAAATGAAATTATGTGTAATAGTTTTTCCAGCTGATGCTGTGGTTCTTTCTCCAAACCTAGTTCTAACCACTCCCCAAACAAGCCTGGTTGCTGTCAGATGGGCTTCTAAGAAAAGCGGGGGCAGCTCCAAAAACTTGGGTGGCCGCAGCCCTGGGAAACGCTACGGATTCAAAAAAGTAGAAGGTAGGTCTGAGCACCTGCTGGGTCTTACTTGCATTTCACTGGGTTCTTCACAGCTTCTCCCCTGGTACTTGTCACTTGTTGAGTGTTTCAGGAGGAGGTGGGCAGGGCATTTTCCAGGAGAAAGGAAAGGGGAGGATCAGTGAAGCCTCGTGATCGAGGGTCGCTGGTGGGAGGGCGGGGTGAGTCAGCCTCCCACCCCAGGAGCCCCGACGGCCACCAGCCAAAATTGCCTACAGAAAATGTACTTTGGTTTATCCTTTGCCTCTCTGGAGCACCCGGAGGGAGGGAACGCCGTGGGACACCTCATAACTGCACTGCACTTTCCCCCCACGCTGGGTGGAAAAACTGAGTATTTCCCATGTTTACAAAGGAGAGAATTACGAGGCTTAGCAGAAGCCAAAGTGCAGATTCTTGCAGCTGAGTGCTCAGTAATTATTAGCTTTGCTGATGGAAACATATCGATGTAAAGGTAATAAAACAAATGCCTTCAGCAACCAGAAAATGCCTTGTACCTCAGAAGCAATCTTTTCACACTTGACTTTTTGCCATGCCCCTTATTTCCTGCTAACAGCATATTTGTTAAGATGCTTTTAGCATTTAAAGTAATTTTTCCTAGGAAAATGCCCAGAGAAAGCTGTGATTTGTAATTCCTGGAACAACTTGTGTTCTGCCAGGCCTTTGGGGAGCTGTTTTCCCTGGAGTCTGACCCTGTCACTCTCTTGCAGGTGCCTTTGTCCACGCAGGCAACATTTTGGCTACGCAGCGGTTGATCCGCTGGCATCCTGGCGCTCACGTAAGGCCTTTTCCCTCTCTTCCCTGGTTCTCAGAGAACAGCAGCCCACCCAGAGTCCCACACCCACTGCCTCCTCTCCTTCAGTCTCATTCTTAATGCTCATCCCTCTGTTCTGTATGTCCTGACATCGGAGTTTCATTATCTGGTATTTGTTGGTCACGGAGCCTGCTCAGAGCCACCCCTGTGTCCGTGGGACTCAGGGGAGCTCTGCAAGTTATGGATATCCCAAAACACTTCTGTGGCCTGACTGGGCACTTGTGCTTCAGGGTGGAATGGATGTCTCCTCCCTCGTACCAAGCACCATTGCAAACCGATTGCTTGGAAGCAAGTTGTGTGGCTTTCTTTTATTTCAAAATACAAAGCAACAGGTGCTGTTGAAGCCGGGATATCAAAACGAGGCAGGCCAGTGATCAGATCTGCTTTAGCTGCGGGCTTCCAGCCCTTCCTTTCTAACGCTCCTCATCCTCTCCCAGGTGGGGATGGGCCGTAACAACACACTCTACGCCCTGGAGGACGGGATTGTGAGATACACCAAGGAGGTCTATGTGCCCCCGCCCCGCAGCAGCGAGAGCAGGGACGTGATCTGCCGCCTGCCCAAAGGAGCAATCCTTTATAAAACCTTCATCAGTGTCATCCCCAACACAGAGGTAGGAAGCTTCAAACTGGTCAAACTGCTCTGAGCCTCCTGCGTCACGTGGATGGGAAGGACAGACCACTACGGCTGGACTGGCATCTGAGGATGAGAGTATTCTAGCTCTGGAGATACCAGTTTAGGACTTGGTTTTGCTACTAAAGCACGGGTGGTCAGTGTTCAGGCACTGGGATCACCTGCTGGCATTTGTAAGAGTGTTTAATAAATGCAGTGGGGCATTGGGTGAAGGTCTTGGCTGATCACAGAATGTGTTATCGTGTTCATTTAGTATCTGGACAACCTGTTCCATTGTGTCACTGGATGGTTCTTTCTACAATCACTCTTATGTCCCACTAATAATTCCCTCTATTTTTACTCATTTTTCGTCATTACTGTTCTCATTCACAACACTGCAGAACAGATCCTTTTCCACGTGCACCTAACACTGCGTTCCAGGAAGCTGGATTTTTTCCTCTGTCTAACTCAACTCAATGATTAACTCAAATACCTGAATGTTCCATTCACTGGCCATGTGAGGCAAATTCACAGGCATAACTCTAACTCATGACTAAGTTCTGGGGCCTGGTAAGATACCAAAGTCTGGGCTGGCATTTGAAGCTCAGTACCTGGAGGTGTATCATAAAGCCATAATCCAGGAGACTTAATCCTTTTATCTTTGAGTCATTACATGATATTTTTGAGCTTATATTGCTCGAAATAAAGGAGCCCAAATGCCTTGTGGCCAAACTGATCTCATTTTATCTACAGGTTGGTAAACAATTTGAAACATTGACTCTGCAGTAGAAAACAGGCTATCAAAATTGGTGGTGTAAGGACACCGGTGTTGACATTATTAGACGATTCTTCTGCTCTGCAGAAGACCAGGTGAACTGGGTCAGCCACACGTGTCCACCTGTGTTTCACATTCTTCATGGAGACCACCAGCTGTTGTGTCCACATGTCTGTCCTTCCCCCAACTGCAGATCCAGTCCCGTGGTTCGTCTCAGTGGTCGGTGTTTGCACACAGCAGGTGACACAACCCCGAGCCTCTCCAAATCCGTGTCTGAGGTCTGTACAAAGCTGCTGTCGGTGACAGGCTCGTTGCTGCCAGAGCACACAGCGATGCTCCAGTGCAGATCCACTCACGGTGGGGACCCCCCCTGGCAGGCAGCACAGGGATACAGTAAAACACTTGGTAACCTACAAAAGGAGTGAAGTAGCACGATACCAGGAGTGCCTGAGGTCTGATCCTTGGAACAGCCAGCAGTGCTGCCTCACTGAGGTACAATGTGCTGCTCCTGAGGAGCTGTGGCCGAGCAGACCTTCCCCTTGGCTCTGCCCCGTGCAGCTCCAGCAGCTGGTCCGTCTCCTTTGGTAACAGTGTTTGCCAGAGAAGAGCAAAGCTTCTGGTTGCTCTGCTGCCTGGCGATGGCTCCGTGGTTGTCCTTGTGCTGCAGGAGGGATGGCAGTGCTGGCTGGGTCTGGGCTGACTGTGGATCTGGGTGAAGGTTTGGCCGTTCCTGCGGAGGGGAACAGTGTCCCAGGCACTTCTGTCGCTGACAGCACAGGAAGGAGCAGCAGGCTGAGGCCGAGGCCTTACACTGCTGTGTTTCTCTGAGTTTGGTAGCTGAGAGGGGCATGGAAAGGGTCTGGAACACCACATCTGTCCAAGGTCTCTGAGCTTATTCCTGTTCCTGAGAAAGCTGGAGGATGCCTCAGAGCGTGCTCATAGGGAGGCGGCATCTATTGAGGGGAGAGGAAGAGCATTACAGCAGATCAGAAATAACCAGGAGATTATCCCACCTCTTCTTACAGAGCGGATGACAAGGCTCACAACCACCACCAGCCTGAAAATTAAGCCCCCGCAGCCCCCAGCACAGCCGGCTGTTGGCGGGGGAACACCTGGAGACAAGCTTAGCATCAGTCTGCAACACAGCACAGCAGAAACCTGCCCCCCTCACACTCTGTGCCACGCTCCTGCTCTTCCCTCTTCCCCTTCAAGGACTTGGCACAAGGCCAGAAAAGACTTTTGTTAAGAGAGGACTGTTATTCACTTTCCTTTAACCAGGGGAAAAAAAATCACTGGGATTTACAGAAGCACCTACAAACCAGGCTTTCTACCCAAGCTTCAGCAGTGAGTCTCACTGCATAGCAGCAGAGAAGAACCTCCAGGCCTTGTCACATTTATTCTGGCAGAGCTGGACTAGCCTTCATCCCACAGCACGTGACAGGAGTGGCCCAGGAATGTTATGGAAGAGCTCCCATTGCAGTTCCTCAGCTACTTGTCCTTGGGGATTTACTCTCCTGTTCTCTCAGTGCTCTGGTTTCATAGAATCACAGAATGCTTTGGATTAGAAGGGACCTTAAAGATCATCCAGTTCCAACACCCTGGCATGGGCAGGGACACCTTCCACCAGGTCAGGTTGGTAGTTTTAGGGCAGGTACCACTAGTTACAGCTCCAGACACTGAGTGGCAAGTGCTGACAGTGCCAGACCTTATGGCACAGCTTTAAGAGCTCACAATCCAGGTAAATCAGTGAGTTTACAGTGCTCTGCTCAGAGTTTTAAATGTTTTTGTTCTGCTTTAGACAATGAGGTCTCTGTTAACGGGAGCCTCTCAGGATGCTGCTGCAGGACCTACGTGGCAGGTGCACTTGCCTTTCTATTATATCCAAAGTATCATAACAGGCAAAGCATCCTACTCATAAATAAGCCATAAACACTTAAAGGTAATAGCAAGGGACCTCCCAGGAGTGTCCTGCATGGAGAAGGGAGCAAGAAATTATGGAAGCCATAGAGATCCAAAAATAACATTCCCAGCTTGGACTTGTATGGAGCAGGTGATCCGAAGTGCCTATCCTTTCTCCCTGGGGCTCTGCCCTGCCTCCCAGCACAGGCATTTCTGCAAACACACCAGGGGGGAGATGGATCATTAACCAGCACAGATGTACACCAGAGGAGCCTCCTGATACACTTTGTGCTTTCCCAGAGATAAAGGCTATCAGGGAAAGGCAATCACAGAACAGAGTCCTCAGCTACCACCAGCTGCTGAAGCAAGACACAGACATGGGCCAGAACAGGGACTCTGCCAGCCCCCTGGGCAGGGAGGGGGAGCTCACCTCCTGGGATGGCTCTGCCCACAGCCCAAACCTCTCCGCAATCATCTGATGGATTTCCCGCTGGCGATCTTTCTTCCGCACGCTCTCGTAGCTCGGCAGGCGGGGCTGCTCCCAGGAAGGGAGCCGGTAGGTGCTGGGGGGTCCAACACAGAAGAGCTCGTCTCCCTAGAAATGCCCATCCCAGGAAAGAAGGGTCAGTGTGACAGTGGCTTGCTCTCTTCACTGGAAGTTCATGGCCTTGTGCCACTTTGAGTTACTTCAGGGTTCAGAGTTGTAGGTGCCTTTCCTTCAAACCCCAGAGAGGAAATCCCTCCCAGGAGGCAATTACACCTCAACCTGCTGTGCAGGATCTGAAGCCATCAGGGATCCTGGCACTTCATGCCCAAACACCTCAGGGCACCATGGTGTTGTCAGTATCCCTGCCCCTCACACCCCACCTCCCCCTAGGGTTTTACATACAGGCAGCACTTCCCAAAGCTGTGGGACAGCACCAGAAGATGCTGTCCAGCACCTTTTCCATAGGTGAACCCAAAAACCACAGTTTTTTTCCCAACCTCATGAGCATCTTTGCCCCCATTCCCACCCAGCTCCCGTCAGGGATCCTGCCATCACCTGCATGCCGGGGTTCTCGGCAGCGCTCTCCAGGCGGGAGGCTCCACGCTGGGGTCCCACCAGCCGCTGGCTGCTGCTGAAGTAGGGCGGGGGACGGTCCTGCAATGAGGAGGACATGAGCAAAGTCAAAATCCCTCACATCCTGCCTGGCAGCTCACATGGGACAGCCTGGGAAGCGGGACTCTGGCAGAGCTGCTCCCTCTGCCCATCTGGCTCATGCAGCTCTCGCTGCTGGCAGTCTCTGCCCGTTCCACACCACCGATGGCTCAGGCACATCCTCTCCGGCAGCACAGGGCCCGCTGGAAGGGGCACAGCACAGCCAGAGGGACAGCTGGGCCCAGGGCAGGGTTTCATTGAGACTCAGAAGAACTATCTCCCTTTGAGAGACAACAAAACCCAACCCAGTTATTTCACTCGTGTGGATAAGAGCTCCGTCGCGTGCTCAGGGTTACAGAATTTGTAAACTCTTATCTACCAAGGTTGTTGTTTCAGGATAACGCAGCAGGCAAATCTGCAGGGCAATAGCTGTGCTACTCCTGAGCAGTCTTGCTCCAGTTAAACTGGATTCCCCGTCAAAGTGTTGAGCAACAGTGAGCAGAAATCCTGCTCACAGAGCATGGCCCCTTGTGCCAGAGCCAGGATTTGAACCTTGGCCATTCCTTGCTCCCAGAAAACCCCATCTCTGCCAGAAAGAAACAGCCGAGAAGCTCCCAGGGAGGCATGTGAACGACTGATTTACTTTTGCTCTTAACAACCAAGGAACTGTTTGTCTTGGCCCGACAGCAGAACTACAAAAGCTGCAGGAACACAGGGCCAACTTTGGTATCAATAACTGATGAGCAAAACCAGCACAACTACACCTGCCCAAGAGCTGCCTCACACGCTACAACTGCTTCACTTTATCGGATGGAAATGCATCCTCTATGCGTTCCCTTTCCGTATATAGTTCTTTGCATCCATCTTTCCCACACAGCCCTGCTTGAACCTCCCACCCCAGAGCCAGGCCCCAGCACAGCGCAGGCTCTGCAGCTCAGGGTGCATCCTGCACTACCTCAGGGAGCAGCTCCACAGGGCAGGGATCACGGCAGCAGTGTGTGCCATGGGCAGGCAGCAGGGAGGGAGGGGGAAAGGAGCAATGAATCACGGCTGCACCATCAGTGCAGCCCATCCCCACTGTGATTTTTGCTGGGGACTTCCCAGCCTGCACTGGACTATTAGATTTGCCTTTCCCAGCTCAAGTTTCTCCATCCCTTGGTAGCAAGGCTGAACGTCCCCTCCTCTCTCAGGAACTGTAGAGCTGTACCTGCAACCCTCTCCTCAAGAGCCATCCTGCAGCTCTGGAGGCCGAGCTTTCCCCAGGCAGTCACCACCATAAAAGCAGTGCTGGCTGCACACGCTGCTCTTTTTTCCATCGGCTTCCCCAGTTGAAAGCCAGCCCCAGGAAATTAGAGATGCGAGCGAAAGGGCTTTGTGTCTCACTGCTCCTTCCCTGGGAGCTGTGCACAAGAGAGCCAGCA